GAGCAGGCCATGCCAGTGGCCCCACATGGGATCCTCACCTGCTGGGTGATAGAGACCCTTGGAAACATCAGGAACCCTGCATCTTCTCAGGGGAACGTTGGCAGGGCTATGACTAGGGTGAGGCAAGCGAGGCACTCCGTGCAAAATTTAAGAAGGCATCACTCTCAAAGATGTGCAAGTGCAGAGGCAGCACCTGAGGCAGGAGCAGGTTGGGCACAAAGTGGTTTCTGGCTCGCCCTGAGACATTGAGGGCTTTGTGATTAGACAGGTCTAGCTTCCCTGCACCACCCTGGTTCTCCATGTTTTGAAATCCTGGGGGCATCCATGTGTCCCTCAAATGGATCTGTTTATTAGTAATGCATGGCCAGTGGGATGTGGTCTGAGGGTAGCTGGATCTGAACTGAGGCTGGATTCTTGGCTCTCCTCCAGGTACACCACCCACCCCACCGCAAGCCTTGCCAAGCTCTCCAGCCTGCTCTGAGGATAGTCAGCCATCAGCCAATACAGACAACTCATATGAGCACCACCTCCCTTCGTCTACCCCTGGATTCATATTGTGACCCTGGCACATCCTTGAATAAATTTCTTGAATATAGAACAATCAGTTTAGCTGCTCCTCCTTAAGCTGATGGCCTATCCCTGCGTTAGCATTACCCAGTACAGCTTTCTCAGTTTGGAGCATCATGTGGGGTCAGTGAACAGAAGTAGTTTCTCTGCCTGAAGATGACTGTTGTTAGTTGCCATCAAGTTGACCTTGACTCATGGAGACTTCATGTCACCTGGTCTTGTGTCATCTTCATGATTCTTAGTATGTTTGAGTCCATTGTTGCAGATTGTGTATTTTGAGGGGGCTCATCTTCTAGCATTATATCAAGCAATATTCTGTTGTAATCCATAGGGTTTTCACTGGCTAATTCTTGGAACTCAGTCATCAGGCCCTTCTTCCTAGTCTGTCTTAGTCTGGAAATTCCACTGAAATCTGTCCACCATGGGTGATCCTGCTGGTATTTGAAATACTGGTGGCATAGCTTCTAGCATCACAGCAACACACAAACCACCATGGTACAGCAAAGCGACAGACAGGTGATGGAAGGTGCATTAGGAACTTTATTTTACGTACACACACACACACACACACACACACACACACACACACACACTTGCCTGCCAGGTCAGTTCCAAAGACCAGATTTGTCAACCACCCCACCAACAGTTTTTCCTCAGCCAATAGCCACGTACTAGCTTTGTGACCATTTCCTGTGAGATAGGTGTAAGTACACACCTGCCATCTCACTGGTGGCTGAGGCTAAAATGACTTGAAATTAGATGGTGACTGTTAATCCCTAAGCACAGAGCCTGGCACGTGGTTGTGGCTCTATCAATGTTTATTTCACCCCACTGGAGTTCTGGCCAGATCACACTGGGAAAGTAGCTCTGCGGGAAAGCCCGGCAGGACTGCTGTCTGGAGGTGACCAGAGAGCGGGGCAGAATCGAAGGCAGTCCTGGCCAGGTTCCCTTGGTACCATCACTGTCGCTCACTCCCACCTTCCAGCAGGTGGGCCCAGACCCCTCCAGACCAGTGTACCCTGCCAGGGCACCAGGTGGAGGGGGGGTGCCATCCAGCACCCTCTGTTCTTGAGACCCACTAGTGTTCAGCTGTAGCAAAGGCATGTAGTTGAGCACACAGGCTCTGGAGTCAGATCTGAGTTTGACTCCCACTTGGCCACTTAACATCTATATGGGCACATGATGCAGCCTCTTCCTTCACGTTTTCATCATTAAAATGGCCCCGTTAACTGTGGTTCCCTCATAGATTGCCTGAGAATTGAAAGAAGAGAGCACATGCCAAGGGCTCCCCTATGCCTGGCAGGTGGTGTGCCCTGCCCGACACTGGTTATTGTCATCGTTGCTGTGAATGGGCACACAGAATTTCTTCCAGGTGTGGGATGAGGCTGGCCCAGGAAGGGATGGGGGTGCAGGAGATGTGGGAGGCGATCCCTTCCTATCTCCAATCCTTGTCTCGGCTGCTATTAGCAGGGATGTGTTAATGAAAATTCACACCCAGGTGCTAATAAACAGTGGGCTGCTCCTGGGCTGGGAGCCAGAGGGGAGGCCCTCTGCAGGGAAGGGGGCTGGCCAATGAGCCCCACTTATCTGTGAAAAGACTTGCTAATAACTTTAATTCCCCATCCTAAAACGCAGGGCCTTTGCCATGCAAATAGATTTTCTAAACTGGATAGGCCCCAGAGCAGACTTCCTGCTCTACCCCAGTTAGGGTCCTGGGAGGGAGAGCGAGATCGGGGGGTGGAGGTGCGGGAAAGGGGGATGATCAGCAGAGGTGTGCGGTCCCGCCCCCTGGAGGGGCTCAGCTTTTGTATCCCACTCTTTGCAGCCAAACGCTAGCTGGGCTGCACCTAAACTCCGAGTGGTGGTCCCCACCCTGCTCTGAATTACTGTACCCTCCTGGCCTGGGCCTGAGCACTGGAGACATTTCCGAGGTGTTTAAAAACAGATCCATCCTCCAGAGTTTGTGTTTGAGGTGATGAATAAGTTTTGGAAATAAATAGTGATGAAGGTTGCATAACACTGGGAATGTAACTGTTGTTAGTTGCACTGGCTCACGGGTGACCTCATGTATAACATAATGAAGCGTTGCCCAGTCCTATGCCATTTCCGTGATCTCCGGATGTTTGAGTGTAATTCGGATGTAATTAGTGCCACTGAAATGTACACATAAAATGACCAATTTTATTTTACATATATTTTACCACTATGAATTTTTAAAACAAAACAAAAAAATATCAACATCCAAGGAGGAATGGATAAACAAAATGTGGTAAATCCATGCACTGAAATATTACCAGACAATAAAAAGGAATGAAGTACTAATACATCCGACAACATGGAAGAACCCTGAAAACATCATGCTGAGCAAAAGAAGCCAGTCACAAAAGGCCACATAGTGTATGATTCTATTTATAGTGTCCAAAACAGGCAAATCTCAACAGACAGAAAGTAGATTAGTGGCTGCCAAGAACTAGGGGAAGGGGAGAGAGGAATGACTGCTAAGGGTACAGGGTTTCTTTTTGTGGGTGTTGAAATTGTTCTAAAATTAAATAGTAGTGATGGTTGCACAGTCTTGTTGTAAATACTAAAACCATCGAATTGTACACATTAAAATGGTGAATTTTATGGCATATGAATTGAATTATATCTCAATAAAGCTCTTATTTAAAACAAACCAACCAATAAGGCCTGTATTTCAGAGACACTTCAGGAGGTGGAGGGTAGAACTGCACATCCATAGAGGGTATCTCCCATCCACCCCCTACCAAGCTTGACCAGCCCCCCCGGGCCCAGGGCCCCCTCTCCAAACACAGTGCTTCCCTGATCTGAATCCAGCCAAGGTAGACAGGAGGGTGGCAGCTTGGCCTGGTTCCAGGTCAGCTGTGTGGATCTGGATGCAATTGGACCCAGACAGGGTGTCTAGGGTGAGGCGAACTCCGATGGGCCCCTCATTCCACCCCCACTGGGCCTCCAGGAGGTTGTGGTTACATGAACTCAGGACTGGCCCACTGATGTTATTTTATGTCCTCAAGCAACATGGGAGGGACACCAGAGAGAAGGGAGATGGGAAAATCCCAGGCTCCAGGCCAGGATGTGCCAGTGCAAAGGGAACAGGACTTGGGACACAATGACATGACACTTGGAGCTCATACCTCCTCATGTCCCAGAATGAATCCTGTTGCTGTGGAGTTAATTCCGACTCACAGCGATCCTATAGGACAGAAAACTGTCCCACAGGGTTTCCAAGGCTGTAATCTTTACGGAAGCAGACTGCCACATCTTTCTCCCTTGGGGCAGCTTTTGGGTTTGAACTGCCGACCTTTCAGTTGGCAACTGAGTACTTAACCACTGCGCCAACAAGGCTCTGATCCCAGAATGGATACCAAAACCAAACCCATTGCCAACAAGTCGATTCAGACTCATAGTGACCCTACAGGACAGAGTGGAACTGTCCCATAAGGTTTCCAAGAAGCAGCTGGTAGATTCAAACTGCTGACCTTTTGGTTAGCAGCCGAGCTCTTGCCACCAGGGCTCCCTCAGAATGAATAGAGGTGACAAAATCCTACCAGGACTGAGAGTTCAGACTCTGGAGTCATATCTGGGCTTGAGCACTGATGTTTATTTAGTTTATTCTTCTGTAAAATGATTATTTGGGTATAGTATGTGTAAAGTACCTGATGCACAGTAAGTACTCGACTCTGACTGGTGGTGATCCCTGGTGTGTCAGAGTAGAACTGTGCTCCACAGGGTTTTCAATGGCTGAATTTTCAGAAGTAGATCACCAGGCCTTTCTTCTGAGGTGGCTCTCAATAACCTCAAACTTCCAACCTTTTGGTTAGCAGCTAAGTGTATTAACCATTTGCACCACTCAGGGGTTCTAGAGATACTTTGGTTTTACCCAGCTCCCCACAAGGTTCGAAGAAAAGATGCACAGACAGACTCTAGTTGCTGCTACTTTCTTATATGAAACCTCCACCCCTTTCATGCTGACCCATCTGGAATAGGAGATGCTCAGCCAGGGTTGGAGGCAGGGAGGAAGGGGGCTGGGCCTGTGTGTTTTGGGGACTGAGGATTGCAGGAAACCCTCCCAACTCTTCTATGATCTTTTTTGGAGGAGAGGGAGGGAGCTTTGTGTCCATGTAGAAGAAAAAGGAATTGCCAAATGACACAGCAAAAACAATTTATTCACAAATAAATAAATGCACACTAAACAGGGTCTTCTGCCTGCCTTAAAGCATCTATTCTATGGGTCCCTCGTAGCTGGGGCTGTCCTGCTGGGGAAAACTCTCACCCCAAGAATGCCCATGCCAGTATCGCTGGTGCCCTCTTTCAGGAAACGGAGGCTGGAGAGGGGCTGCTTCGAAGAAGGTGCTGAGGCCAAAAGGGCTTCAGTGCTCACAGACAGGGCGCCACTTTGTTGTCACTTGGGCTTCTCAGGCTGGTGGCCATTCCAGAGGCGACAGGGGCATCCAGGTCTCCAGCAGAGCCAGAACGTCGCCAGGAGAGAGCTGCGGAGGACAGAGGGGACAGTGTGGTGTTCAGCACTGTCTGCCGGGTGTGGGTGTCCCCACTCTCAGGGGACCGTTGGCGAGGAACAGGACGCTGTCCCCTGAGTAGCCCCCCCCTCCTCTCACCACTTGGACGCCCTGGACGCACTTTGTTGCTCTGAAGACAGAGCAGGTGAGGCAGCCGGTGGCGGTGCGGCAGGTGACCGGTCCCCGCAGTGAGACTGTGAGCTGGGGAAGGCGGGTTGTGGGGGGACGCAGGCAGTAGGAGGCGCCACGACGGCGCCAGGGGGGAGTTCCGCTCGGGGAAGGAGATACCGACCGTAGATGAGGAGCTCGGCTCCGTCGCCTGCGCTTCGGGGCACACCGTCTCGGCGTACAGCACAGGCGGGTCACGCGGCTCGGACGCTGCGAGGGCTCCGGGACAGGCTGGCGGGGATCCCCAAGGCGCGGCGCCGTCGGCAGACGAGCCCAGGCCCTGCGTCTGCGCCTGCGCGGGGCCGCCGTCGGGGCAGAGCGGGCAGGCCCGAGGGGATGCCGCGTCGCTGAGCCGCAGGCGCCGGCGCCGCAGGCTCTCTTCGCTGAGGCCCAGCACGGCCGACAGGTGGCCGATGTAGCGGATGGCCAGGCGCAGCGTCTCGATCTTGGTCAGGCTCTGGCCTGCGGGAGCCACGGACGGCGGCAGAAAGCGGCGCAGCTCGAGCAGGGCGCGTGCGAGCGTGCGCATGCGTAGCTTCTCGCGCTCGCTAGCGCTCTGTCGCTGCCCGCTGCCCAGGCGGCTGCAGCGGGCGCCGCGCCTCCCTGCTGTCGGGGCGCGGTGAGCTGGGCGCGCGGCGGGCCGCGGGGGACTCCGTAGAGGGCTGCTGGCCGAGGCGCTGCCCCAGGAGTCCGGGGATGAGGCGGGGGAGCAGCCACAGTTCTTGTCAGAGGGCGGCTGCAGAGCTGGGTCCCAGCCCGCGGAGAGAATCCAGGACTCGGAGAGCGGCGGGCACAGCGACTGGGCCATGGCCGAGGCGGCGCGTCTCGGGGCCGGCGACCGGCGGCCGCTTTATCCTGAGCCAGAGGTGTGAAGTGGCCCCTTCCAGGCCGCATCAGCACATCAAAGCGGGCTGGGGGCCTAGAGTGGGTGGGGCCTGACCCTTTGAACCAACGCTGGGGGTGGGGGGCGCGCGAAGGTGCCGGCCCGTTGGCTGCGTCTGGTTCGCGCCACCTGGCCCCTCACTTGGGCTCCCGACCCAGCCACTGGGGCCTCCTGCCTGTGCCCAGTGGCCGGCGGTGCCCGAGGTGTTGGGCCAGCTCAGCAGGTTAAAGGAAGCAGGGTGGGAGAACTGAAAGTCCAGTTGTTTGGGGGGCAGTCTTCACCTGTTGGGGACCTTATGCAAATCCTTAAATTTCCTTTCCAATTTGTATAATGGGAGCCTCAAGGCATGCCGCAGCCTGGACTGTGGAATAGGGTAGAGACCCTGAGAGGGGCCCTGATTCCCGCTAGGTGGGGAGGAACGAGGACAGTAAACCGGGCCTTGTCACAGGTAGGCTGGTCACAGATGGGCTCGTCCCTGGTGGTTTTGAGTGGATGGGTAGGTAGTGGGGGACGCCATGAAGAAACTATCCCAGACAAATCCAACTGGCTGGCTGGTCAGCCTCGTCAGGTTGCTGGACCATCCGGGCAGAGGAGGGATGAGTGTTCTCTCCAGGGCACCCTCAGTCTGGCAGGATCAGAGGCTCAACCTGTTGCCGCAGCTGCCACCACTGGCCTTGAGATGGTGTTCTGCCGTTTCTGGGCAGGTATAGCTGGGCTTTGACAATGAGTGGAAATGACGTAGAAAAAAAAGCATTTGATAAAACTGAACATCTCTTCATGATAAAAATTCTCAGTGCCCTAGGAATAAAGAGGAACTTCCTCAGCCTGACAAAAGACATCTGCAAAGAATCTTCAGCTAACATCATACTTAATAGTAAAAGACTGAAAGCTTTCCCCCTAATATCGGGAACAAGGCAAGGATGGTCGCTCTCACCACACCTGATCACCATTGTACTGGAGGTTCTAACCCCTTGCTGTTGAGTCGATTCCAGCTCATGGCGACCCTACAGGACAGAGTAGAACTGCCCATAGGGTTTCCAAGGATCGGCTGGTGGATTTGAACTGCCTACCTTTTGGTTAGCAGCTAAATGCTTAACCACTGTACCACCAGGGTTCCACCAGAGGTTCTAGCCAGTGCAGTAAGGAAGCCAGACTGAAAACACTATGAAAAAAAGAAATATACAGACTACATGAAATATACAGACTACATGATTGCATAGTGTAACCCGATGAGGGTGGGTCCTGCCTCGCGCAGCAAGTCAATTGAGAGACCAGGCCTTTGAGAAAGAGAAAGTAGACTTTATTGCAAGCCAGTCAAGCAAGGAGCTTGGAGACTTGAGTCTCAAGCTCCCTGAGGTTGAGGATTCTAAAGCAGTTATAGGGTTCAGGATAAGGAACTTATGCTTAATTAGTGAAGTTTCTGGGAATGCAGGCAATTCCAGGAACTAATTAACGTGTGAGGGTGTAGTGGGGGGTGCAATACGGCAGCTAGGGGGCGTGTGCTTTTTGGGGGGTATGAGGCATGAAGTTTATCTAAGGATGGCTTTGTGGCTTATTGCGCATGTCCAAATAGGGGAGGGGCAGTTAGTGAAGCGGCCTTGAGCAGAGAAGCAGTAAAATGGTCTTGGGCTGCTACAAAGAATGCTGTATCAGGAACTCAGAGACCCTGGGTGTGATGGCAGGAGGGGGAACAGTTTAGCCCTGCCAGTTACATCCCAGGAGGGGGAACAGTTTAACCCTGTTGGTTGCAATAAAACGAAAAAACCAAACCTGTTGCTGTCAAGTTGATTCTGACTCATAGGGACCCTATAAGACAGAGTAGAACTGCCCCCAGAGTTTCCGAGGAGCAGCTGGTGGATTCGAACTGCTGACCTTTTGGTTAGCAGCTGAGCTCTTAACCAGTGCGCCACCAGGGTTCCAGGAAATCTCAATCTACACTGCCTGCCTGGTCCCTCACGAGTTTGAGTTTGCACCCTTCTCATAATAGCTGCTTCATGCATGGATGTCTGCTGACCAGCTAGACTGTGAAAATACCTGGTGGCTGGGATCAAGTCTTTGGCTGTTTCTTCTTTAAGAGGAGTGGTATATAGTGTTTCTTCTGGTGCCAGGGCTCTGATGTTTTGCATCCCCCATGGCATCCAGCCCTGTGAGAGTGATGGGTTAACTGGTTGATAGCAATGGAGGCCAAGGGCCCTGGCACCTTCTCCCTGAGCATCTCTGCCCACCACCGCCACCCCACACCCCTCTTTTGTCTCCTTTATCTTCTACTGCCCTGGGCCTCCTGTAACACCTTCTATACCCCCTCTTCTAGGTCTGTCCCATCAGACCCAGAATGCTAACGCCCAGTCACATCCAGGACAGGCAGTGCCAATCCACTCCTGGGTGGGGAGAAGGGAAGCAGCCCACTTCCTGGGCATAGGCCCTTGGACCCATCTACTTTCAAGGAGAGCCTGGCCCAGGAGCCCTGCCTCAGCCTACTTCCATCAGAGGGTCTGCCCCTTCTGGGCCATGGCTCAGTTGATACCTTCCTGGGACTCCAGATCCAAGCCAAGAACCCGGGTGACTGGGCCCCTTCCACCCTGCTGGGCCCGAGGGAATGAGCAAGAGTGTATTTATGCTCAGGGGCAGAAGGAGCACAGAGAAAAGGCTGGACAGGCAGGAGGGACGGGGGTCCCAGGGAACTCTGGACACCCTGTTGGCCAGTGACTGCCAGCCTCCTGAATGTAAAAAGTCCCTCCAATTTCCACAAGATCCTGAGGTCTACTTTGTATGTAATAACTGAGAGAACTCAAAATGATCAAAACCTTCTAGACAATCAACTGCCATTTTATTTCATTGTTACATTTTTATTTATTTGAAAATGTAACATATATACCTGGTTAGAAAGTCAGAAGGTGAAAAAATACAGCAAGTATAACAAATCTCTCTACTACCCTGTTCAAGGCTTTCAATTCTCTGCTCCAGAGGAAACCCCACCGTTACTGGTTTTTGGTCAATAATGTTTTGAAATGAATTTTTAGTAAGTACAAAATCATCTGTGCATATCTGGAAAATAGAGCATATGTGTGGGAAGCAAATTGCTTGTCCTGAAAACACAGCTCTGGGCCCCTAAGGATTCTCAGATCTGGGACCTAATTGTTAACATTAATTGAGCACTTACATGGAACTCTCATTTAATATTCACACTGACCCCTTGAAGGTTATATTTGAACATACTATAATTTTCTCCGTTTTACAGGTACGGAAACTGAGGCTGAGCAACATGAAGAAACTTGCCAGTCACCCAGGTAGTAGTGATGATGTCAGGATCTGCACTTGTGTAGGCCTCCAGGGGGTGCGGGATGGGGGCGGTCAGAGCCTGACCTCCAATCACGATCCCACACTGGTCCTTGAACTCCAGACTGAGAACCACTGTTGAAGTGCTAGGGAGCCACTGGGAGGTTTGGAGCAGGAGAAGGACACCATGAGAGGGGCATTATGGGAATATCTCTGGTGTCAGTGATGAGGAAGGGGCGAGTGTGGAGGTAGAGAACCAATGAAGAGGACATGAGCGAGACCGGGCAGCAGGGAGAGGGACGCGGGGCAGATGGTATGGTTCCACCCTCAACCCTGGGGTCTTCGGCCCTAAACCAAAAAAACCAGTTGCCGTTGAGTCGATTCTGCGCCATAGGGTTTCCGAGGCAGTAAATCTTTAAGGAAGCAGATTGCCATATCTTTCTCTCGTGGAGTGGCTAGTGGGTTCGAACCACCAGCCTTTAGGTTAGCAGTCGAACACTTACCCACTGCACCACCAAGGCGCCTGTCTTCATCCCTAAAGGCTGACAAGTTGGAGATGACATGTGGGGGAGTCCCTCCCTCTCCTGTTGCTCCTGGAGTCTCTGGGAAATGAACTCAGGGGCCCAGACTGTGCAATGGCTGTGGTCAGTGGGTCTGATGGAATCAAGTGGGGGGACAGGGGGGACCCTGCCCCCCAATCAGCCAGCCTCCCTCTTCCCTTTCCCTGTGGCTGCCTCTCTCACCTTTGATCTCCTTATCGCCAGCCTCTCTGGAGGGATGGTTTGGGAGCTGCTCCAGTTAATGAGTTCTCCAGCCCAGGGCCTGCACACCCCCCGCTGGGGTGAGGCCTTCACACCTCTGAGGCCTGTGTTTTGACAAGTGCCGGGAGCCACTGGCTCCTGCTTCCCTGGCCCTTGCATACCGCAGCCTGCCCTCGCCTGCCGACGTGTAAAGCTGGGAAATGAGGCCTCCCAGCAGCCCCACCAAAACAGAGGTGAGAGTTCAGTCAGGGGTGTTCAGTCGGGGTCCTTGGCCGGGGTGGGGGGCAGGCTGGACAGGGCAGCCCAGGCCAGGCATTAGCCTTCCCGCTCACCTCAGCCGGCTACCTCAGGGCAGGCCTGGGTCCTGGGCGCTGCCCCCCTCCTGCCTTGATGCCCTCATTTCCCGGCCAGCCCCTCTGACATGGGAGTGCTAATCAAAGGTGCTATGTAAACACTCCCCTTGCAGCCCCTAATCCCCACCCCGCCGGAGCCAGAGGCCCCAGGAGAAGGAAGCAGCTCTTCTACCGCCAGCCTGCTTAGCATCAGTGGGCACATCTCCTGGGACACTCCTAATTTGGGTGTCCCCTCCAGCCAGGGCAACCCCTGGGGAGGTCCTTCTACACCTCCCCACTAGCCTGTGAGGCAAGCCCTTTCAGGGGGAACACTAATAATACTAGCCATTTATTATGCTTCCACCCCAAACAGACTAGGACACCCCTCTGGAGTTGACCAGTGGGGGTTAGAATCCCTGGCTCGCCACATACTACCTGTGTCACTTGAGCATCTCACTCTCCCTCTCGGCCTCAGCTTCTGCTTCTGGGCTGAAGTGAGTAACACTGTGCTGAGGTTGCGAGGATCAAATCACATGGCGCAGACCGGAGCGTGTTT